CCATTCCTTAATCGTTCCTGACTATTAATTTTTTTTTTACAAATGATCAAATACAGATTGTCCTTGACATACAACCACAATTGAAGCCAAGACTTCTTTTATTAAGTGAGATGTGTTAAGTGAGTTTTGCCTTATTTAACGACCTTTCTTGCCTCAGTTGTTAAGTGAATCATCAGTTGATAAGTTAATAAGCCGGTTGTTAAGTGAATTTGGCTTCTCCATTCACTTTGCTTGTTCAGAAGGTCACAAAAGGTCATTACATGACTTTGGGACACAGAAATGGACATAAAACGTATGAACCAGTTGCCAGGCATCCGAATTTTGATCATGGGGATGTGACAAAGGTTGTAACTCTGAAAAATGGTCATAAGTCAATTTTTTTCAGTGCCATTGAATGATCACTAAATGAACTGTTGTAAGTTGAGGACTATCTGTAACAGGTGTGATAGTGAAATGTTTTATTTTAAATATGTGCTTGGTGTACGTGTATGGTAATTATAAAATCTGCAAATGGTAGCCTTGTAAAAGAAACTGTTTTTATATATAAAAGAATCAAAATCACTTCTTCTATAGTGGTGTCAATGTGTGAATCATAGAAGCAAATTTGACCCTACAAATAATGTTTTTGTTCATGGGCGAACATAATCAATTAATGAAATGCAACACTATGATTATTCAAAACTCCATCAACTGGACAACACGTTTTTTAGGAGCTGAATTTCTAACAACGAACTTTAATGTGGTGTGCTATGGTTTAATGCTAATGTTTTTAATTATTTCTATTTCAAGTTCTTAGTGAATATGCCCGTGTTGTTTTTAATTTTTATTAGAAACAATAGCCCTGATTCTTTTTCTTGTTTTTTCCCCCCTATCCTTTAGGCTGCCTCTGGATTCCAGAGAATCCTGTCAACCTTGACACTAGCAACATTTCCAACTCTTTATTTTTTTACATTCCTTTATTATACCGACACGGGATCCACGTTTTTTACCCTCTTCGCCTATTTAATGTGTCTCTATGGCAATCATAAAACTTCAGCATGCCTTGGATTTTGTGGGGTGATGTTTCGCCAGACGAATATTGTATGGACGGTTTTTTGCGGTGGAAGTGTTGTTGCAGAAAAGCTAAGTGAAAGCTGGAAAGTGGAAATACTGAAAAGCAAAGAGAAGAAAAACCTACCGGCACAAAACATCATTTCAGAGTCAATCAGGATTATTAGATTTCTCCTTGGGTACTTTATGTCTTTTAAAAACATCAGCAATCTGATTCCCTTGATATGGCCATACCTTACTGTGGTGGTGATATTTGCTACTTTCATTGTCCTCAATGGCGGCATCGTTCTTGGTGACAGGAGCAGCCATGAAGCCTGCCTGCACTTCCCTCAGCTATTTTATTTTTTTTCTTTTAGTCTTTTTTTTTCCTTCCCTCTTATAGTGACGCCCGGTAAATTTATCAGTTTTCTCCATTCTGTGAGGATCTATTTTCTGCGATACAGTGTCCTCACAATTGTTTCTTTATTCCTCGTCTGGAAATGTACGTACGTCCATAAATATTTGCTTGCCGATAACAGACATTACACATTTTATGTGTGGAGAAAAATCTTTCAAAGACATGAGCTTGTCAAGTACATATTAGTTCCAGTTTATATATTTGCTGGCTGGAGTTTCACAGATGCACTGAAGTCAAAATCTGTTTTCTGGAACTTAGTATATTTTGTATGTCTGTTTGCAGCCACCGTTCCACAAAAGCTTCTAGAATTCCGTTACTTTATTTTGCCATATATTATATATAGGCTTAATGTTCCAATGCCATCACTTTTGAAACTTTTCTTAGAGTTGATTATATATAGTTTGGTGAATGCAATAACATTCTATTTCTTTTTGAACAAACCATTTCACTGGCCAAATAATGAGGAAATCCAGAGGTTTATGTGGTAACATTTTGGTTCCTAAAACCTGTTCTAGAGCTTTTTGTTACAAATAAGAGGTTACAATTTTGAAAAACTTCATTAAGGAAAATGAAGTATTCTGGATGTTTTATAATGGAAGAAATGTGAAATGTGTAGGGTTTTTGGACTGTTTTTATATAAGGGTGTATCAGTAATCAGTAATTACTTCTTAAAAGAACGGGGGAAATTTTACTCATATTCCCAAAATAACGTGAATGTATGGACATTTTGATCATACCAATTATGCTACAGAAATCATAAACGTTGACTGTTTTCATTGTATTTCTCTACACATGTAACAAGTGATTGATTTGATGTCATTCAATTATTATACTGTCTTTTTACCATGCTTGGGTAATATTGTTTTGTGCTTACATACAGTGACATTTTTTTATATATAATGTTTGGGGTCCAGGGATACAGGTAAAAGTCACACAATTATCAGTTTATTGCAACTAATGTGCTTCAGTTTACGGCTGAAATCTTGGATATTTTTCTGGCAGGAAACTTTCAATCAGTGCAGCTATGTAGAAATGAATAGGATTACAGTGTGAGCTAGGAAGAAATTGATTATGAGCTAGAGAACCATATTTAAATCACATATCATGGGCAAATATTGTATAATATACTTGATTTGTTAATCACTGAAAGAACTTCTAGATACCACAGGTTGCTATACTGACAACATAAATCAATTTGTAGCTTCAGCATAAATCATAAGTCTTTATAGGACCTGTTATTATAATTAACCAAATATCAGTGATATAAGATGACAGTTCTGCTGATTGATTTTGTTTTCAACATGTCAAACTATGGCAGTTAAAATGTTTTTTAAAATAAAACCTGAGATTTTTTTTCATTCTAGTAATAAATTTGCATGCTCAATGCCAAAAAATAAAAACCAAATCAGTGTTCCTTATATTTAAGGGCCATAGTACTTGGGTAAAGCATGCTTAAGATGTGAAAACAAATATTTAAAGCTATACTCAATAAGAACACTTAGCAATGAATAAGGTAAAATAAATATGTTTTTTCGTCACGAACCAAATATTAACACAATTGTGTTAATAAGCAATAAATGATAGGATTTGTTTTAGCTTTTTTGTCTGTTTGAAATGTGTTCAAGAGTATTCTTCCAGTTGTAACAGTTTCCTCCCTCTTTATAGATATATACTTAATTTTCCAAGCTTGTGTAATAGAAAAATAATACAGGTTTTGAGGTGGAAAACGATAGAACACTTATAATAAGGAAATTAGAAATGTATCTTTAGGGAACCTTCATATGATTCTTAACTGGAAGTATAGACATGGTTATCGTGATTTAATTTCTCACATGATGAAAAGGCTCCTACTGAATATTGTCTGTAAAATATCTTAGCTTTTGCAGATTGTTCTTTTGATTTCAAAGTGACCAATTTTAAAGTGCATGTCAGTAGATTTGTCACCCTGGGCACCTTTAAAAATTGTACAAATAGAACTTGGCTTTGGTAGACTTTCTGTGCGGAGAATAATCACAAACATCACACTTGCTCACAAAGTTAAAAGAAAGTTAAAATTTAAATTTCCTGTGAAAGTTGAGAAATGAAATACTTGCTAACAGGGACGACTTTCCCTTTTTGAGAACATGTTTAAAATCAGGAAAATCATACAATGTACTGTATAAGAAAAATACTATATTAAAACCATTACTTGGAGGAGTTAGGAAGAATAAACACAGATAAATTAGGGTCATATGGTGGCGCTGTTGAGCTGTGCTTACCGTACAATTTGCAGCATTTTTAATAGCTTTTGACTGAATGTTTTTAGAACAGTAGCCTGCAAAATGTGAAGAAAAAATATTTTAATAGAAAATTGGAGGGGGGGGGCATTGGTCCTTGAAAACTGGAATTTTATTTATAGTGGAGCAATCCTCTTACTGTAGTAAAATGCATCTAGTTCTAATTGTAAAGCAGACCAATGCTGAAATAGGTGGGTCTTTCTAAAATATTTATTCTCTAAAATTGGAATCAGTCGTGCTTTTAAAAATGGAAAATCCAAGGGTTTTTCACCTTCAGTTCCTTTGTCATGCTAAATGTCACCTGTATTCAGATGGGGCACTTGGAGTCAAGAAAGTCTGGTCTCTCAAACAGGTATTTCTCTTTGGCATCCAGGGGTGTGTCTTCTGGGTATAGCCAATAAGGTGAAGATGAGGGCATGGCCAGGTGTGCATGTCAGCTCAACGTCACTCCTGTGGGGGCCGCCTGTGGTGGCCTGAGTGCTCTTCCAGTGAAAACAGGCTCCCAAACTCTGTTTTTGGCTGCCACATCCTATAACCCTCTACCTGCCAGTGAAAATGTAGCTCAGGAAGGCTGCCCTCCCGAGCTCTGTTTTCACTGGCAGAGGATCGCAGGAGGTCATGGCAGTCGAAAATGGAGGCCGGGAGCCATTGGTGGGTTCCGGATCCCAGTGCAACTGTACGATGCAAGGGGGTTGGGTGTCCACCACATGAATGTGCATGCACACGCACAGTGCACACATGCGTACTTACCGCCCGTGATGCCTCTGGCGTTCCAGCTGCTCGGCGGATCATTGCACAGGCGCCGTACGCTCCATGTGAATGCACGAAAGTCCCGAACAGCTCAAATACCAGTAAGGAGTGCGGGTGGGCCCTCCGAAGCACCGTACTGGAATGGTACCTGGTGCTCCCGGCAGGCAGATTGTCATAACCCACCAATGCCAAGAGCCCAGTTTTGTTGGCAGAAGCACCGTGGGCCTGTCCGCTGTTTCCAGAGTACCCCACGGGCCAGATCTTAAGTACCCTGCAGGCCCGATCTACCCCCTGGGCCTTGAGTTTGACACGCTTGCCATAGTGGTATTGCTTTAACCTTTGAACATGCACAAGGATCTCTTCCTTCCTGTCTGCCTGCCTTCCCTTCCTTTTCCCTCCCGCCCGCCCGCCCTCTCTTTCTTTCTCTTTTATTTGTATAGCTTTTCCCTTCCACTATATTACACTATTAAAAATGGTCAATCATGGTACAGAAGAGAAGTCTTTGCTATGTTGTTTACCAAACATCCCACAAATGTGAAAACCTAACCTTAATCCAGTGATCAGCATTATAATTAGCCCACATAGCTCAGGAACACTGCTATTTACTTTGGCTCAACAGATGATAAATGTCCTTCCTTTGGTAGATTTAACTTTCAGTTCAGAACATCTTGAGTGCCCAAATTTGAACTGGCATCAATACAACCAAAGATATATCGTTGCAGCAACAACAAAAAATAATAGCCAAGAAGATGGATGGATTCATACGCTTACCTTGTATATTATTTTAATACCTTGGAAGAATATTTTTCTCTTTCTTTGCCATGATAGTTAGGAAGTTTTGATATATTATCTCTAATTCCCCAGTTTTTCTCCAGATTAAAAGGAAGTGAATTAGTAATCATTGTACTGTAATGTCTCAAATTGTCAAATGTACAATATTGTATGCCACCCAGGATCATATGTGAGAGGACAGTTATGCAAATGCAATGAATGAATTTGTATTGTCATCTTATGTATATACTTCCTCCTTCCAACTTTTTAGAGCATCAACAGCTTCATAAGTCACCTCCCTGTAGAGCCGACATCTGCAGATAGCTGCAGAAATGACCTGAACACAGCCATGGAATTCAATAGGTAGCCATAAAATGTTATTTGGATTTTCTACATTAAAAAAAATGAAAGCATTTAACCAAAGTGGTACATGAGACATAAACAATGAAATTGATGTATTATAGTACTTTGACATCTTGCATTTTATCCCTCATGGCAAAGATTTTATATTTATTGGGACTTTTCAGTGCAGGGGATAGAAATGTGTAATAAAACTGTGATGTTGTTTTTTTACTAAAATGAAGGCTAAAGTGCCCAATACAATTACTGCATAAAATAATCCATTTGTTGCAGGAGTTGGTCCTGGTTCGGTGCACGCAAAATTTTTGTGCTACGCGCATGTGCACATTTTCACAAAAAAGGTCTGTGCATGCACAAAATGTTAAAAAAAGAAAAATAAATTTGTGCAATTACAATTGTTCTGCACATGCGCAGAACCAAAAATCAAGATGGCGGCCCCGTAGGAGAACCATTTTGGGGGCGTGGCAGGCCTGGGTCACTGCAGTTCCAGCAACCCAGATCATCAAACCACTACCAGTTCAGCCAAACCGGTAGGAACCCATCAGAATTTGCTGATGGTATAGAATTGTAAATAACTACAAGATCGGTGATGCCTGTTGGAAAAAGAAGTAAGCAGGTTAATTCATTGTCCCTGTTATAGAAATAACACTGAAGAGAAGTATAAATTTATCACTGTATTTATTCTGTGTTCACTTGCCAAATTATTCCTCCTGTTATTTAAAAGAATATAAAATGTCTGTTTATTTTCAAGAAATGCTTTTTAATTCTAATTTTCTTGTACCATGAGTTACTATTGTGATATGTGCATGCATTTTCCTTTAAAGTACTGAATTTTGTCGTTTAAGTAAAATATTCCTTTTGCTTTGATGTGAGCATTTTTTTTGCATGCTGCAGAATTGCCAAATGAATATTTTTTTTCACTGTTTTGTATTGCATATGGGAGCAGGATTAATAATAGAATATTATTAACATGATTTCACACTCCATTAACACCACAACAGATTCCTTATTATTGATTAGGTGTCTTAATATTTCTATAAAAATCACAATTCTCATGGCTGGATTGTTTCAATATTAAATATAACTGGCAAAGTCTATGAAACACTAGCAGTATTGCCCCCATATTCAGATGTATTTTTAATTAGCTGTATCTCTATGAATTCGGCCTATTAGTATGATTTTACCCATAACTGCCTAAAAAGCTGCCCATGTAAATAATTGGTTTTATTTCACCATATAATTTAAGACCTGAGAATCCCAAGAATAATCTCTGTAACTAACATTTCCTTCTCTTTCAATAGACATGTTAAGAAAAAAAATGTTCTTTAAAAACACCAGACTTTATTTAGAGAGCTGTTTGGTTTGGGGAATAGTTTTTCTAATTCCTTTTTTTTATTTCCAATTAATTTGCTCCAGAATATATTTAGAAATGAAATTAGACAATCTATGACTCCTTGGGTCATTGTTTCAGGTATATTTTCTTACTAGATATCTCTATTGCCTTTATTGGGAAAGTTCTTAAAAAATGCAGGGAGATATTCAAAAATGTATCTGCCTTGAAGTAGCCCATATTGAATTAAGTGTGCAAACATCAACAGCTGGCCACAGAAAATGTTTTATGACATAAGGACAGAGTTACAAGCAAGTATTCTTTATTGTAAAAAAATACATTTGTATACTTTTGTGATAAT